AAAGCTAGCTATATATTCTTCCAGAAATTATACGAAAAAAGATGATGAAAAGGTTTACCTTAACAGTAGCACCACATAAACGGACTTAATGCTCTCGTGACAAAACTCTGCTCGAGGCCGCCATTATACACGCAAAGTAGAAGTAAACCGGAAGTGACGTCGTAACCCACACCACCTTGATATATCAGAAAGGTGGGTGTTTGAAAAAGACTACAAAAGAAAATACCCGGATGTGTCTTACATTTTCTATCATCTAGTGTGTATGGATATATTTCTCACCAATGATGGCGTGTTATTCTGATATGATTTAATATGATACATAGTTTCTATGATTTAGTTCTTTGGCGTGGGTTTTTTGTGTGGATATTAATATATAATATCTAGCTATTCCGAACGAGTATGACGTCGTGGTGGGCGAGTGACTCCCACATATAGCTGTATTATGTTGTTTGACAGACACTGTATGATAGACAGTTTGAGTGGTTTAATAAAAGACTATAATCCCTTTGTCGTAAATACCAGAAAATATAAGAACATTGGAAGATGAAATACCCGTATGTGTCCAGCAACTTTTATAATCCAGTATGTATGCTTATATATTTTTTATTTTATGTGATAATGCATTTTTAATTTGTTTTATTTTTAAATGGTCGTATAATACGTAATATTAATATTCAATTAACGAATTCAGCAACCTGATGATTTATACCTATTTGAAGTTATAAATAAACATGATGAATCACCATATCCAATCGACTACTCATTTTGGATAACATACAATTAAAATACATTGGAAATTTGGGGTTAAGTTGTCGTAATTTTCTTATATATTACATACATAAAACTATTCTTTGCTAGATATCCATAAACATGCATTCTGTATTTAGTTAGCAGTTAGCAATCCTGAATGAGCAACGCAAACAAGATGATGCATCGCATTAACGTTGAAAGATATTTTAGAGAGATTGAAACAAGTACATGCATTTATGTCCATCGAATGCAGTAAATTGGCGAATAATATATTTAAGAAATACTTTATGCAATTATTATTAGATTAGTTTTCCAGAGCACGATAGAATAAAATACGCTACTTAATATATCATCGATCCATTGAGATGAGACAATGGATGTCCATCTGAGAAATAAAAAAACAAGTATAGTCTAAAAAGATATGTGTATATAAAATTGAAGTTAACAACACAATACGAAAGCAGGAGCAAGGAAAACGAGGCAATGAAAATTAACAAAGAATATTGGAGAATCGGTAGTACAGTGTGGGATGTGGCAAAGGTAACTTGTTGGTATCATGAACCGTGGCTATGCGTAGATTTTATCGTTTGCTGGTTGAATTTAGGTATTTTTGTAACAATTTTTACTATCGTTCACCTTTTAGTAGATATAATTAATTGCGATGTATTGTTAACATTAACATTATGTGTAAAATGAGACTAAACTATTAATGTATTTTCCAGCTTGTTTCGAAATGTGTATTTCTACCTACCTACCATATCAGGAAATTCTAAAGATGGAATAATTACGCTGATATAAACAAATATGGCAGCCCTCAGGGTTTGACCGGACTCCATACAAGCTCGGTCAATCTGTTCTAAACGTGTTGCATTTCGACATTCCTATGATGTAACCATGGGAGGAAAAGATGTATAATAATTAGTTTACTACGAGAATACTGAAAAGTATGCACTCGGACAGTACGCCATCGCATCGTTCTCCGTTGCGCGTTGGTCAACACTACCGCTGTACAGTCTTCGTGCATACTTTTCGGTATCCTCGTAATAACCTCATATTCTACTTCACTGGTATACGTTATACTATGATACATGTGTCATAAATTATGAATGACACATATTGTTCAATATACCACAAATTTGCATATTCCCATGAATAAAATGACTGAAAACTAGAGAATCAATGCTGTAATTTAGAAAAACTTCGTTTAAACTCGCGACACAATTAACCCCGGTTTCACACATAACAAATTTGACGAATTTAGTTTGGGACCATGTTGAAAACGATTTTATAGTTAATGCAGCTAGACTGAAACAGCAAACACAACCATCACAACTTGGTTCAAAGAACTCAATTTGTCCAGTAGAATTAGACCTTTTAAATTATATTTTTTAAGTTGAAATTTAGGTTTTGATCGGGGCAAATATAACCAAGAATCATTTATGATAAGACCATTGTTTACGAAAGAAAACACCAGGAAATTAAAATAGCTCGGTAATTGTCCTTTCATTTTGTTTGTAATTGTACATACAACATCAACAACTTGTGCTGCTTCAATTCAAATTTAAATAGTTGGCAAGATCAGTGCACTATCAAATGATTGTATTCATCTATTGCAGTCATGACCACACCTGCTTTACGAGTTGCTTAAGGATAAAGTAGACGTTTTTTAAAGAACAGAAAATCTGCAGTGATTATTTTGCGAACAATTTCAGAGCTCTGTCATAGACGTAATGTGTATATCTCAAAAGTTAAGGTAACAAAATATCACTATTATTATTAAAGATGAATGCTAGGTATGTATTCATTTCAAAACACCAACACCACTTTATGTTTACCACGAGGTTCATATATTTACTATATTGTGTGCTATACACTTCAGGGTTTTTGGGTTTTGTTTTCGAAGATTGTTCTTCAACTCTATACGACATAAATACAACAATCCATGGTTTAATTCTACTTTGATCATTAGGCGTCCCTCACAAGATGGATCTACAGTTAGTTAACAAATTTAGTATCAAGTTCATTTGACTACACACGTGTGTTATAATATAGGCTATTATAAATAACAAATTGTATTTCTAAACAATTAGTTTAATACAATAACTCGATTACTGCAACATTCTGTCATTTACCATGACTTGATAGTTTTTGAGAAATTCCGGTACTTCTGGGCTATCAGAAATTATACAACGGACCTCGTGACAAAATGAATATTTAAAGTGCTGCATGTTTATGATTAATCTTGTCCTGAAATATTAGATAGCGAATCGTAAAATTGAAGAGATATTACGCGTTTGGCCACGTCCTTCCTGCCGCAGTAGAGTGATTCCGGCAACCTCACTACAAAACGTCAGAAAAAGTGGTTATCAGAGACAATTAGATCCTCCTTTCCCAACATGAATATATATGAGGCCTAATATTTTGTCCCGTAACTTCATACAGCAGGCCCGTAGCCAGCATCTTTAAACAAGGGGTTCGAACAAAAATAATATATTTGATGTGAAACGTGCTAATTGTAAATAAAAAAAGCTAATTTTATGGTATCTTATAGCTCTGTCACTGATATTTTTATCTTTTTTTTCAATTGGCTTTAGATTGTATTAGACGTAACATCTTAGGAACCATTTTAACATTTTAGGACGGGGTTCCTGAGCCCTCCCCACCCACAGAATCACACACACACCCTAGATCCACCTCTGCAAACTTTTGTACACGAAAAATGACAAGACGATATGACGTATGACTGTCTAACCATTTTAATTACGTGGACTTTGCATTATCACACAATACATTACACATGTTATGCAATAAATTACAAGACACTTTGAAGACCCATTCTCCTTGGATGCAACTTTGCAAAAGTATCCACAACACAATCAATATCGATTTCTTTATCATAATGAATGTGAAGTAAAGCTAAAGATGTCAACCTCTCTTGCCCCATGCAGGAACGATTATACGTATTCAGCCTTCTCAATGCGGAGAAACTGCGCTCACACTCACAGCTTGTCACAGGAATGGTAGCAGCTATTTGTAGTAAAACAAATATGTTGGGAAAGTATGCTTCATCGCAAACTTTCAGTGCTGAAGCAACACTTTGGGGGTAAATCGTTGACACTGAATTTGTGCTGCAAATGCCTCTTCCACCTATACAACTCATGCTCGAACAATGCTGCCGATGGTAAATCTCCAGCATATGTTTCAATGATATTTTCAAACAGTGGCTGAACACTATTATCCAATAACACAGACGGTACTAATCCAATAAGTTGGCTATATTTAGCCGATAAACCTGAAAAAAAAATGTATATGGCATCATTAACTAGAAGAATGTAAAAAAATGAATCAAACTAGGAAAGTACTATCACATTTAAACAGATTGAACATATAATAATTATACTTATATTCTTAAATCAAATCAAATATTATAAGACAAAATTACTTTGTGTACCTGTGAACTGTTCATTCAGTTCAGTGCATATGTGGTCAAGAAAAGGAATAGCTAGATTCAGCCTGTAATAATCTTCAGGTGAACTTGCTGGTGCATTTGGGCGTTGTGTCTGACGCCTTGCCACACGTGGGGTTGTAGGTGTGACACCAATTTTGTCGGCAAAACGGACAGCCTGATCGTAACATTTTCTAAAATGAAACTCAATATTCTCCCTCACATCGCTGTAAGTCTGTTTGACCTCTGTCACCTGTCGGTTAAGAAACAGCAATATAATTACATACTCATGTTAGTTTAGCAATTAATAATATATGATATATATTTGGTGTGGATGTGGTGAAGATAGATCGTAAATATCTGTCTAGTGTTGCAAGTGAGGGGAAAATATTATCTAATCTACTTACCAATTCATAAGCTTCAAATATATCTTTACTGGTACTTTGTAGCTTTTTGCTGATGCCATCTAAGTGGAACAATATGCAATATACTGTGACAAAGGACACAATGAAGTCAAAATTTGTCATGACAGCTAAAAGCCCTGACGCATCTTGTTTGCTCTTTGCCGACCATTTTCCGTCTGTCAGATCATATCCATCATCCCTGTGCAGTCCATGAGCAATGACTTCGAAGGCGTACACCATAAACACAGTTATAGAAATATGAAAATGCACTATGCCTTTCTGCCCATCGTGTAGCACATAGATTGAGTAATGGTTTACGTTTACTTTCACCTGAAACTTCTTGTGTTACAATGGATTTCAATAAATGCTCTCTTTTAAGGCTATAGTTAAAAAAGATGCATATTTCTCCAAAGTATTTCTTACAAGTACTACTTTGCAAGAACGCACAATCACTAAATTTAAGCAATGGCCTGCACAATGACTATACATAGCCAAAGGTGACACATCTCGGATTTTCTTTTGTACACCAACATTTTCACTGGCCATTGCAGTTGCTCCATCATACGTCTGAGCGCGAATGCCACTGACATCTAGTTTCTTTTCTGCCAGTGAATTCAGAATCGCTCTCGCAATAGCGTCACCAGTCACACTATGGACATGCATAAAGTCCACAAATTCTTCTCGGACATTTTTCTCCTTGTCCACAAACCTAAGACACAGGCTCAGCTGTTCGGTGTTGTGAGATGTGGCCTCGTCTGCCATAATGGCATAAAACTTTGATTCTCGGATTTCATTTTGTAGATCATTTAGTATCAAACTGCCTATCACTGAAATGAGTTCGTTTTGAATTTGTGGTGACAAATAATGGCCACGTTTATCTCGAGGGGAATCAATGTGTTTCTTCAATAAAGTATCCTGTTCTGCAATTAAGCAGAGTAAGCCGAGAAAGTTCCCTGGATTACCCGCTGTTGTGATGCCTTCGTGATCTCCTCGCAATGCTATGCACTGTCTGCCACAGAACACAATAGTCTTTACTATCATTTTCAAAATGCGTCTGTTCTCTAATCGTCGCTGTATGGCAATGTTGCTGCTGGGTGTTCAATTGACTCCATAAACGTATTTGACGCATCCATTGCTTCTCGGTGATAAGCATGCAGAGCGTGGTCGGATAACACACAAGATATTTTTGTCCACTGGGTGAACGGACGGTTAACCAATATACCCTTTGTTTTTCTGTTAGTGGAAAAGAGGGCACAATGTACGCAAAAGATACCATCCAGTTTTTGACTATATACCAGCCAGTTATACTTTCATCAACCAACTTTCTTTAAATGACCTGTTACATCCGTTCATGTACGTACATGGGAACTGATAACATACAGGAACAAAATGATGCTTAATATAGGAGTACTTCTCCCCAGGTGATAATGATGAAATCACATTGTCAATTTCTGTAGTTGTGAGGGTGGCATTTATTAAATCACCAATGTCTGAAAAATAATATTAATTTGTTGATTTACATTTAATTTCTTGTTAAATATAAATTATTTAGTACATCAATTTTACCTTTCACTGAATGAACATTTTCATTAAAAGACGTCACTGATGTTGATACAACAATCTTATGTCCATTGGTGACATTCACGGGATCCACTAGATACAAAAAAAGTGTAAAGTGTGAATATTCGAATAAGTATTGATACTGATCACAAATATCATGTGGGTGACATCGTTGATATTGAGAACATGAATCATTCCTTACTTGTATCAGAGAGTTTTTCATTACGTATACCGGTAATCACATCCGAAGACGTTGATGCATTTGATTCACCGGCTAAAACAGGCTCCCCTGAAAAGAAAGTTTTAAATATTTATTCAAACCATAATGTTACGTATTTGATAAATGAATTCAAATAATAATCGTAGTATCAACTTCAGCTGTTTTTCCAAAATAAATCTTATGCATTCAACTCACCGTCATGTTTTACTTCTTGGAACGGGTTAACCACAAACATAATGTAGAACTAGAATGTTTAGCCATGATGATATCTTGATTGCCGGACTACACAAACAATTTTTTTTGAATATTAAATGTTGTTGAACATTTCCTTCCTTTCACTGCCACTGACAATTTATTTTGTTATTCTATTTTAAATCTCACATGTAAGTACGCTATAATGGTATTCTCACCCTATTATGCTTTGCCGCAAAGCCATTGCGTCATTCACCCTAAAACCCGGGCGATCCCATCTCAACCGAAGTCGACAAGTGATTGACGAGTGCAATACTCATATTGAACGGTGTTGGGCTCTGCTGGAAAAAATATAGGACCGATCAATTCCCTTCGATTCCCACACTAACTGAGCGAACACTCACAGAAAACAAACGGCCATTTTCAGGGCCAACACATCCTTCAGAGAGAGAGAGACTACCGTCACATTACTGTATAAACATATGTTGTATAAATGTACTTACCCGACCGAAAATTTGACATCAAACGCGATCTGCATTGCTCCATCGCCGCATTGTCGGAACGTGCTCATTTATAACAACTTTTTGATTGGCTGTTCTTCCATTCAGCCAGTGCTATCCAATCAAAGCCGGCGTAACGTCACGATTGACATTTAAAGCCCGTTGCCATTAAAATGCTCATTTACAATTTCGGCTGAGAATAATAATTAAAACTGAGCCCGGTTATTTAAACGATGGTAATTATTTTAATTACTACTGTTTGTTTTAATATTAATATTTTAATCTACGTTCATAATTGTATACATTTCCAATATTTAGGGGGTTCGACCAAACCCCCCGAACCCCCCCCCCCCAAAAAAAAATACGGGTCTGATACAAAGTCCTTCCGAAATTTCAGCTGGTTTCATTTTGGGAATAATAAGTTTTTTATGACTGACTTTGCAAAATATTGGCTTATTCATATGTAAATGTAGTACCATGGCCATCTATTGTTTTAACCGTACTACTCTGCTGCAACTATTGATTATATAGCAATTATGCATATTATGGTCACATGACGATAATAGGTCATCTGATACAGTAGTCATATCTCACACCCGATGTTGTATATCCCTAGTTCCAACAGTTCATGAAATGTTACAGTTATGCATATTAATGGGGTCGCTCGACTACATAAGTTTATATATTATGTTCCCCACACATATTGTTGAACACCATCAAAATTGAGCAGTGCTTAAAGAGATTAGTTATGTATGATAATGGGTTCATATGACCATATATTGATGTCACTTGTAGTTGCATGCTCCTCCATCTCTCCCAGAGCTTGGGATTATATAAATGTGCAAATTGATTAGGTCACTGGACCATATAAGTCTATATGCTGTACGCCTGCACTTGTAATATTGCACATATGCATTGTTTCATTAGAAACAGTGTTAGAAATCTCAAATTACTTAAAAAATGAAAAAAATATCAAAAAACGCCACTGATCCAAACGATCTATGCATATATAAAAACCGTACTTTTTGGAAAACATTGAGGTCTAAAACGATCAATAGAATCACGCGATTTCCCGCATTTTTTTTATATGAAAATAAATTTATTTTTATTCACGAGAGATTCCAATGTTGCAAAATGGCCAGAAGTACAATTCATTCACATTTTCCCTACAGTGCAATCATAACAATTCACCAAAATATTACACATGCATAATATATTCATCATGTTCACGTCATCTCAACTGGTGAAATAGATTTACCAGAACCTTGTAATGAATAAGGCGCCAGTCAAAAAATACTCGCGCAACATTTTAACTTACATGTTCTTTCGAATCAGGTCATCGTCGCAAACATAAAGATAAATAGCGAATGTTTCTCTTGACTGCGTGCATAATCACTACTCGTTTGATTAGGTTCTTGTACATAACATTCTGCACACTATATCATGGGTCCTTGCTACCTTCACAGCTTTAAAACATTAACTTAGAACTTCTACGTGCTAGTTGTTTTTAGGTTCACCGCATTTAATTTGATTTACAGCTTACATGTGACAGTATATCCAGGTTACTTTTCTGTTGTTTGCTGGTCCGTGGAACGAACCAACAAACCAACTGAAATGTATATAAGTTAACCTGATCTAAAATACACAGTGATAATAGACGAGTTTGAGTTACACAATTGACCACGCCCATATTTTCTAAACCTTACCCACTTTTGTAAAACCACGATGTTAACAAATAAAAAAAGAACGTTTTGCCCTTAATTCGAGGTTCTGGTAACTCGTAATTTAACATCGAGTCTAAATTGCTAAAGATGCGGTATAGTTTTAAAAAATAATATTTCAACACAGTTATCGACGGATGAATTTGACTAGACATATTTCCGATACGTGTACCCCGATACATGAAGGCTATTATTGTCCATGCATGCTATTATGGAGATAATTATTATAGGGTAATTCTAAAATAACTACAGTAAATTTTATCTGGGAAATAAATAAGACTCAATACTTCCCAATAATTCCCAATCTATATCCTTTTTCATCTTACATATGAAGTATGCTAACGTACGTGTATGTAGCACAAGATCTAAATTTCGAGGAATTGAATTACTTTCAGTCGAGTTGAACAAAATTCTGTCAGGAATTTATATAGGTTAAAAATTAAAACATCTATTTTATTTACTTGATGAGGTTTATTTCATTTTTTCTAGCGCCAATGAAGTACATCACGCAGCTGATATCACGAATACATGTTAAAGTTATTGAAAACTACGCAATTGAAATTACATATGTATGGTAACTGGCAGGAGGATAATTAATTCCAATCTTTCTATGTAGTAGCTTGAATCACATGATCAATATTATTAGGATCATCAGAGTAATATTCGTAATAGTAATAAGGTATAGATGCTATACACATCATATGTGCGTATTGAGTCTTCCTAAGGGAGTGTCGCTTTAACTCGAGTCGATTTGTTCGGCGATGGCTGATGGGCAATCCTATATGTGAACAGAAAACATTGATTTAAGGAATCTGGGGTAAAAAATGTTGAAACGCATTAAAAAACATGTACGACTATTTCCAACAGATATTTGTTTACGTTCCACACAAATCGGCTTCTTTGTATATGACTTGTATATTATTTCAGGAAGTATTATTATATAAAATTTCACTATAGCAGTTCTAATACTAACATTAATGAGTGGTTTTAGTTTATATAGTGTGGAATATATTATATATTGAATTAAAAAATTGAGCAAATAAATGACACAATAATCAAACCATCATAAACAGTAATTTACTACGGTTTCTGCTTATTGTGGTGTATGTTAACATATAAATAATCATCATAAGATATTCACCACATGTTTACAAACGTTGTGAACCCACGCGTCTTCAATTGCTAAGCCCGTGCATTGTTGACAATTGTCAGTTGGCACCGCTTCAGTTCCCTGTAAAACAATGTATGTCAATATATACAACGTTCTTTAGTTAACATGAAACAGAATAATAATAACAATCTTGTTAGACCACAAGATTAGAAAGTGTTGTTAATTACACAGTATGAATTTCTCTATATTTAGTGCATTTCACAGTTCAACTCATGCTGTGGGTGTCTATTTTAGTAGTACACAATTCGTCAAATAGTCAAATCATGGAAAGTAGGGATCATTTTATCACAAATAACAAAACTCGGAAATCGATAAATTTCTATCGCACACAAATGCACATATACTTGATATTAAAATATGACTACGCACAGTAATAGTTCATAAAATATACTACTCGTTATTGTTCCAGAACAGCAATAATGTTTAACTTGAATTTCAATTGATATCATCGATGGCGTGCTAAACAAATTTGACAGAATAGTACAAAAAAAAGAAATGCTATATCACCCTTTTTAATTGCTTCATACTCAGTGACGTACCAGATATGAATGCTACATTTCCAAAATAATATGTTGCATGAAACCCAACTTCTTTCCCCTCAATTCTATTTTCAATGTCTTCTATGTGAAGTGGGCAGGTGAAATCCTCAGTGCATACACTATGCCACACTCCATTATCATACATTACATCATTACAATCCACGCTAGTGCCATTAGCAGGGTTTTCAGGGTGATCTTGAGCATTTGATGTAACTGCCATCAAATTCAGACCACACAATTAAAGAAAAACAAGTATAGTTTCTGTAAATGAATAAATATATCAATATACACTATATTGTCGTCTTCAGATAATATTTATATATTAGAGGTTATTTTTTTCTACTATTGTATCAGTAGTCAAATACACTTTGTCAATGCAACCTGGCTGTTGCACTGTGACGTCATTTGATACGTTTTGGGGCCAACCAACTTGCAAATATCTGTTATCAAATGTCACTCACTGATAGGTACTAGCTTGTTATCTGCTCTGACAGAAGTGTCTGTAAGTTGTTTTAACTAAAACACAAACATGTATATTTAATTACCATAACAGCTAATAACACATAATATTCAGGTGAAAATGACCGGGTACTGCACACATACACGATCACAACAAGTTCGACGGTCTATATTCAGCATGATGTAAACTGATCGAGTATGAGGCTGGTTGATTTCAATGTCGATTATTTACGTAAAGCGACCAGTGTGACATTTTTTTTTCTATCTACAAACAAATTCAATTTTTCTTCCCTGCCAAGCTGGTTCGTCGAATAACTAAAGTAATTCAAAAATCTACAAGCTCATGGGCTTCACCTGTATTTGTCAAATATAATTGTATCTAGTTTGTGATCATTATATCAAAGGGTGGGCTACCAATATGAGTTGTGTCATGACCGCAATATTCAATACTAGCAGCAGGTCAAAATTCCTAACACTAAACAGAAATCCACAGGCTAAAATCTTTGAAATTGTAAGTTTCGTCGGTGGGCGATATAGAATGATTTGTCGTAGCAGAACACGGTACCTTTAGGGCATCAACAAATGCCATTTTCCCAGTAGAATAAGACATTAACTGTATATATTTAAATACAATAATTTTGGGTGCATAATTTAGGTTTTAATCAGGGTACACATAATGTCTAGGCATATCAATATTTCCATTTCGAGGTATCAATTTATCTCTCTATTAATTATTGTCTTACTTACTATTTAATTGTAGGATTTATAGAATGAACAGATAAATAAAAAACCATGTACACAATCAGATGACCTATTCTATAAACCAGACATGCAAGACATTTGCTGCCAATACTGAAGCCACAAACAAAATTTAGCACTGCTTATTTACTTACACACTTAACAAAATCTTAGATTACGTAAAGAAAGTCTAACCTGTATTGTTGTCGTGAAGACAGTCACAACTTGCAAGCGCATTCTATTTCACAACAAATGTAAGCAATATGACTACTATGTCACCACTTAAATATTTTTAGCATTTTTAATCCCTGTACCTCTCTGACGGCTATATTGATTTGTTCTTTGTCAAATCAGTATTCTAAACAAGCTAGAAGTTTGTCTAGCCAAAAACAAATAATTAATGTGTATATATGTGAAATAAAAATGATGAAACACAATTGATTATATTTTGATGACGTACTGCCACTTACCAGCATATCATGATTTGTTACTATTTGCAATAGCGACCAAACCATTTTCGTCATAAGGGGTGTCAGTAGGCATTCCTTAAAAAAATCATTATAAACACAATATTTTTTAACTATTTGGAAACTCTCCTAAAAGAAAATAATTCCTATCAAGATTAGATAGAAGGCAAATTTATAAAAAATAAACAACACATTCTAGTGCGAAAGTGAGCAAAGTATACTTTTTCTGTGAATGGAATATCCATATTAACGAAAATCAGTATAACCCTTAATTGTTTCAGTGAGCCGCCAAACGTCTGGTCAGTGTCTGTTTTATATATACAATGATTTATCATTTATTTCCTATTAATTAGTAATCTGTCAAATACGTGCTTGTTATTTTGAATTGTGCTAATGACAGCTATGTTGATCACCAGATTGTTTAAAACACCTTCAATATACTGTGCATATTGAGCCAGAATAAGATCTTGCAAAGTCCTGACTTAGTCGTTTGCCGAATATACGTCCATGTAGTGACTTCAGCCACAAATCACACGAATATATCGATAAGACCTTCATGTCAGTGATATGATTCTAAGAAAAGATTTGTTGTCAAATAAGTATTGATTTGAGGGGCAAAGAACATTTGCAGATGTTGGAAAAAAAACCGAAGAAAACCCGATGTTGGAAAAAAACCGGAAAAAAACCCGAAAATCAGTAGTTCTTCAGTAGGAAATTTGGAACAGTTGGTCTTTCACTAATTGTTATGTGACTGAAGCCATAACAAATGTATAAGAGTTGGTCAATTTGGGTTTAATAATTTTTAGAAAATTCTGATGTAAAATGTGTAATAAAACTGAAACACCAACGTTGAAATAATTAATATTATCATTACTGATCAACTCATTAAAGGTTTTTCACATTAAAATATCCCAAACAAAACTGTGCTATTGTATGACCGACTGACTTGCTGCTAACTGCATAAAGAAACGTCCAGTTACTTTGAATAGTTTCTTAGGATAATAATTACCATTATTTATCTACGATATATTATATTTATCAGTCCGAGCAGTGTTTATTGAAGTTATATGAGAACCATTTCAATTGTATTCAAAAGCAGATTGTAAACTACTAAACATGTGTATACGTGAATGTATAATGTAAACTACATATGTATTTATATTAAGACAACTGCACGTTAAATTCTGTAAACCACTACCCTTGTAGACGAGGTTGTCAAACTAGTACACACCCATTTATACAGGGATTTTATATCACACACTTACCTCTACATTTTGTATATTAAGACTATCAATTACTACACCTACATCCATATGAAGATTGTAAACCGTTTAGTTTGTATTCACATGTACATTGTATACTGTTCTTACAGAAACGCCACAAATCAATATGACGAAATCCATGTCAGAATTGACAATTATGCAATAGAAGATGCAATATAATGTATTAATAACATCATCTTAACGCCATAAGTTACAGCGTGCCATAATTTTGCGATATTTTACGGGGTATTTTCATCCTACCATATAATGAACCGCGAATTCCAAATATGGAATGATTACGCGCGTAAACGTTCTCTAATAATAAAAACAAACATGACTGCCACCAGGGTTTGACCGGACTCCAGACTGAAGTTCACTGATTCTGTTCTAAACTTGTTGGATTTTGGCATTCCCATGATGTATCCTTCGA